TACAAAACAGTGATTCAGTTTTTGAAAATTCCTGCCTTAGTGCATACTTCTTGGGCCGAAAAATGAAAATTGTCATTGACAACGTTTATTTAAAAGACACCTCCCACAATTCCGTAATGATTTGTTTCTTTTTTAAGTTTTTTGGGAAGTTTTGGGGAAATTCGTGCAGTAATTCTTGGCTCAAAAATGAAAATTGTTCATTCCATATGAATTATTTGTCATTGTATTGAAAAGGGTTCATAAAATGGTTTTTTTCCGTTTGGATAGTGTGTAGATGAACCGAGTTGTCCAAACAAATTTGGGGTCATGTACAACTTTCCACCATCATCCATCATTTTTGCAACTGAATCATAAGAAATATTTTCTGTTACTTTGCTAGTTTGTACAATACACAAAGTGATCCGTATAATGAAACATTTACTGCTGCTTAATTAAACCGTGATTGCGGTTTTCTGGAAAAACTAAAATATAAATAGATATAGGTGTGATATTGGTATGTTCGTTCATGCACGGAGCGTTATTGTGACCAAGAAAATTCCAGTCGCCAAACATAAGTAACAGTTTTTGGCATTGACGGTAATTGATTTTAATTAATATTTGACGAATAACAGTTCTTCAATCACCGGCGAAAGAGGTTCCGAAAAATGGTCAAATTAATTTTAATAAAATAGGTAGTATTTTTCATGGTAATTTAAAGTTCATAATAAAAAGGTAATTTTTTAAGGTGATTATACTCTTCGAAATAGGTCCGCCCGAAACTGCAGGTAAACGTATACCTATATGAAAAATATGCAAGCGCCATTTATTGTTATCCCTTCGTCACGGTATTCAGAAAACTAACTGGCCGTACTAATCATTCAAAGGAAACCAATTTTGTTTAAAATATTTTAAAAATTAATGGAATTTTTACTCGTAATGTTAGTTTCAATTACTAATATAATGACGTTTAGAGAACGTGCTGTTATTTTCGTCGTAGATTGTCACATCGACTATAATATTTTTTGTTCAACACCAAAACCACAGTTTTACATTAGAAAGAATTCAGGTACGTCGGTGCCCAATGCCTTAAAGGAACCCGAATGAAAAATATATATTATCTGGTCTCCTTTACGACTTGTAAACACCACCGTAACGACTTGTTTTACATTCTTAATAGCTCTCTATAATATAAGAATGCCATAATGCGTGTAGTTGTCACATAAAATCCTTCACAGACCTATCAAGGGTGACAGGAAGGCTACCCAAAAAAAAGTAGGTATCTGTTGAAGCTCACTTGAAGTATTAGTTCGCTACATCTTCTAAAATAGAACCGGGGATTATATTTTAATGAAAAAATGGCATTTCGCTTATAATCCCATTTTTGTATTGTTTGTGACCAAAACATACTCAGCAGGCACAACATGGGTGGCCTTTCGGCAAAGAAAGTTAAAAACATTAGGACACAGTTGCTTAGCAGGATACTAGTAAACGAACAGTGGACTTAATCCCGCTTTGTATTATTGCTACATAATAGGGTTTTGTTGCTACATTTGTGTTAAATTTCATCACGAAATCAAATTAAGCGTTATAATTTAACCTCTCCAAACTCTATTGTGACACGTGAAATAAAAATTTGTTTTTCTTGTACGCTCTTTTACAAAAACCGAACCATTAGATTTGGATCGTTAAAATGTACTAAAGTACTTAAAGTGGATAATAATAATGAAAATTATAATTTAAATGTTCTGCGTAGTAACCCTCATAATTAAATCTCGATTACCTGCAAGTAGCTACACTTGGCGATCGAAATAATGAAGGCATAGATAACTGACACTTACATTTAAATTATTCCAAGTTATAATTAAATTAAATACTCGGCAATTTACCATTTTTTCAACAAATTTTCGGCATTATTCTTTAATCAAACTTAAGTGAAATACGTATCATCAGTTCAAGCAACCTTCTCAAAAATTTGTTGCAGGTGGATTAAAAAAGCAAGCAAGCTCGTTAGTGAAGAATATTGCCAAATAACTTGTGTATGATGTCCAAACTGGAGCTAGTCTCCAACCCGGATTTTTTATACATTGACCACCATAATGAAGAAGAACTACAAGGTTCAATTGGTCCCAGGATAGTGCAAGGACGACACCAAGAAAGGCACGATGAGCAATGCATGGTGTTGATAACAAAACGCATGTGACGACTAGAAGAGCAACCCCTTGGGTGCATGAAGACATCGGAGATTTTACATGCCATAATGCTCTTTGCACCGCCCTGCAGTTCTTTCATACCTGGGACCCATATCATAAAATCAAAACCAATGCAGATCTTAAAATGGTGTGCGGTAAATTCGCCCCGGAAGACTCGCCCCGGTAAATTCGCCTTCGAAAATTCGCCCCTGGAATATTCGCCCCCAAGTAAATTCGCCCACGGAATATTCGCCCCAAGTAAATTCGCCCCCGGAGTATTTGCCCCCAACAACCAATACAGACACGTTTTTATTACTGATGCCATAAGAGTTCCTTTTTTGCTGTTTTCAGTTTGATTTTCAGATTTTTGGATTACGAAAGGTGAAATATTGTGTTTGATTTACAATAAAATGAACTCTTCGTCTATTAGGATTGTAATATTTAAAATCTTAGAAAATCGTGCACAAAATTCTTTTCTTTCAGTAAATCTAACTACCTAATTAAAAAATAATACAAAACTTACCAGCACCACATGAAACCGATCTTCAATACTCAAAACTATTTTTTCACACGAGTTTATAACAAACTCAAAATCAACACAGTTATTACAAAAAAAATTAAAATTAAACAAAATTCATTTTATGAACTGCTGGCTCTGTTACCTCCGAGGATTAATAAATCTTATGGGGCGAATCCTACGGGAGCGGAATCGCCGGGGGCGAATCTTCCAGGAGCAAATTTGTCGGGGAAGAACTTGCCGGGGGCGAATTTTCCGGGGCGAATCTTTCTGGGCGAATCTTACGGAGGCGGATAGTCCGGGGCCAATGTCTTGGGGGCGAGTTTTCTTGGGGGCGAATTTTCCCGGGCGAATTTTCTGGGGCGAATCTTACGGAGGCGAATAGTCCGGGGGCGAATTTACTTGGGGGCGAGTTTTCTTGGGGGCGACTATTCCGGGGGCGAATTTTTAGGGGCGAATTTACCGGGGCGAATTTACCGGGGCGAATTTTCGGGGGCGAATTATCCTACAATCCTTAAAATCACACACTTTACGGATGGCTCACTTGCGTGTTGCCTGTTCGATCGATTTAAGTAAAATTGTAGCTACCAGTGCCGAGTAGGCCGTAAATTTGACATTACATTGATTGGGGCGTTGCTGTTCAAAAGGCGCAGAAAATATGAATCGCTTGGTATCCAAGAACTAAAATTTGCCTCTCATAATTTTGGTGGTCATTTTTGGATTCGTAACGTGGAACACTCTTAATGGATACCTACCAATTTCGCTGGAGAAAGGGCGAAACGTGTGATTTCGATGCCCAAAAGAACTACAGATTTCATTATAATTATCAAAATATGGGTTATTTAAATTAAATCGTGAAAATACATCTTTCTCCAACATCTTCCCACCACAATTCCTTGATAAGTCAGGGAGAGGAATGATCCTCTTCATTTAACTCCATTTTATAGAGCCGTTGAACTGATCTCTGGTTGTCTTCACTCGAACAGTTCGAACGTGACCATTCTTTCCTTCTAGTGTCTCAGTTACGATTCCTATTGGACAATCCAGACGTTTAGACATGTCATTTCCGATGATTACAAGGTCTCCCACTCTCACCAACTCTGGCATTTTGCTTTCTCTTATTCAAGAATGATTTTTTGATTTTTTTAATAAAAATTATATATTACGGAGAGAAGCGGGCGAAACTATGTAGTTTTGCATCAATTCCATAAATCAACAATGAATATTTTAAATAAGAGGACATGGTCTCAATAGCGAAATCCATTGAACAATTACACTTCGCGAAGCGCCACGCCGCGTGTCGATACACTTGATTGCTCGCGCCTACATTTAGGTTGTACCACTTCTTGTATTTTTCATCAAACATTTTACCATAATTTACTTAGGTACTCTTTTGCATATTTATAGCGTAGAAGATTTTGATAACGTCTGATGTATTATGCCAAATAAGAAGACCACCAAAATAGCTGCCGCATATTTCATAAATGGTGCATGATGCACATATTATTATTCAGTGACTTTGTAGGCCACGATTTAGTAAACAGTGTGCAAGCGGTTTGGGTAACTCTACAATTAATAGCAAAAATAATTGAACCTGATGCAAAACGGAAACTTGCCTAAGTTATACAGGTACTTATTCTAGTATAGGTTGGTATACTTGCATTTATAGACAATGATTAAGATAAAGTTGTATTTTGTGTCTAGGATAATATTACACCCTTTCTTCCCTATCGTTAGAAAACCACAAATGTGGAAATTGTGATGATTTTTATTAAATGACACGGCAAAGTGCTTTATTTTCCTATATTGTATCTAAGTGCAAGCAAGATTTTGCCACAGAAGCATTTTGCATGGCCCAATTGTCACTCAACATATAAATTTGACTAGGTTGGGATGTTTGCGTAAAAAGTAGTCAATAAAATTATTTTAAAGTATAAGGTACTTCGTTGTGCTCTTTGCGCCATCTAGCACACTTTTTACTCCGTGTTTAAAGGTAAACTGCCCCAGATACGCGAAAATTCGTTTCCTTCTCTACGAGCTTTGGAAGAATGAAATAATTTCCCACATATCTAAATCGTTCGTATATGAAAGATTTAAAAATGTGCTTTACTTATGCTGTTAACTTATGTAACGACAACGCGTAGAAGGAAGGAGAGATTCATAGGATCTTATTCCCCTGACCCCTGAGAAGGGTTACGAGTCACCTTTTCGCGTCACCTACATCGTCCACCTTGTCAATATAACCACCCTATACCCCCCCAAAAAATCCCGCCTCCAAATGCGCACGCTGTCTAATTCCCCCACTTGGTTTACAGCACTGGACAAGTTGGGCACAAGACATCTCTTCACCAACAGTGCTCCTGAACCTGTGCAACCAAATGTCGCCTTCGATATCGCGAGTTTAGTGCTTTACGGATGTCAAGCTTTACCAATTCGTTTAAAAATCCTTCTGGACCGCTTGTTCTCCGTACTTCAAAAGGATCAAGTTTTACAAGTATTGCATGGATTTGGATGGACACCCGACGATTACGCTAGAGGATACATCCTGCAGGTAGGGCGCTTTTATATTAGGTACTTTCAATTCGTAAAAATTTCATCCTTATATAATTAAATGAAAATTTAAATTCGACCTTCTTTCATAATTAAAATCTCAAACTTAAATTGTCGCATCATCTCCAAAAAAAGTCGAAAACATCCCGTAATTATATACCCGCTCATAAATATTCAGAATATTTTAAATACGCTATTTTTGAATAAAAATCACGTCGATTGTTTGTTTTTTTAACTAGGCCGAAATGTATTTGTATTATTACTCTTCTCGGTCGAGTTGTCCGGCGGCTTACTGTTTGGGTTTCAAAATTTATTTTCACAAAGATTGTGTGTTTTTCGTTCGAGAAACAAACTCAAAAATGTTCAAAATTTTAGATAAATATACACGTACATTCGTATATTTGCGAGACAATTTTGTTTCATGGCACGAATGTATTTACCCCTTATTAATATTTAAAATAGCGAACTAGCCAATTTCGTGGAACGTTGGGAAGGTGAATTTTGAATTACAGACGATAAAATTATAGAGCGTTTTGCATATCATTTTTGAGAGAGGTAATAATTTTATGGTAGGTATAATTTTTCAAATAACCCTCTTGCTGATTTTTAAATCGTCGAATTCGTATTTTGAATAATGGAACACTTCTGTCAATAATGACACAGTTTGTTTACTAGCTAATAAACCGAGTTGCACTTAAATGCACGATTTGCGAATATATAATTACCGTACAGGTTTTCAGCAATTACCTACCTCTTTATTTTCAAATTACAAAACAAATTCGAAGGCAAATGCCCAGGTACCTATCGCCTTTTTCTACATGTAGGTAGAAAGTTGCCTATCCGCCGCTTGCTTGATATAATTCATTGTGACGCGCTAATTTTACTTAGACTAAATAAAATAAATTAATTAATGTGTATTGCAACTTGATTTAATAATCACTTTCTCAAGTTCCTAAAATTGGATTGTTTATAGGCTTACGGTGTGCAGGAAATAAACTATAAGAGACATTCAGCAGACTACCTTTAAATAAAGCACCGATACGCTTTTAATGTTTAATTTTTTTACACGTATCTATAGGTACTTGTTCCTTGAATTTAAGCAGACACTTTTCGTTTATTTTTAAAAAGTTACCTAGTGAAAAACCCAAATTCCGAGGAACAAGTCTCGCTTTACGGCATCAATGTTTACATTATCCTTTATTGTTAAAGGAAGCACACGGCAGCACATTGGATCGATGGAGTATCTGCAGTCCTGAAGAAGAACCCTTGGTTCTTCAACAGTTCTTAAGATTTGGCGAAACACGTGCAATTACCCAGCAATTACTATTAGCTCAACAAGCGCTTCACCAGGAGTCAACGCTGGAGCGCCTCGGTCATCGTCCCCCATCGAATCCGCGTCGGGCGATGTCACCAAATCGTCGTCCATCACCACCAACCTTCTCACCTTCAGCTTTCCATCCATCTTGGTTACCAACTATGTCACCTCACCAAAAACAATCGTTAAATTTCCTAAAAATGCCATCAATAACCGATTCTGTCAGCTCCGCAACAAAAACCATGTACGGAAACAACTCGATAACAGCATCTCCACTGAACCGCCTTCAAAACATGCAACCGTTCGATTTTCGAAAACTAGGCGCGGGACTTGCGGGCTTTCCTTGCCAACCGACCCCCGATTTATCGATGCGACGGAAAGTTTCCGAAAGTGATACTCCTGGAAGTTTAAATCTAAGCATAAGTACCTCCCTACCGATGTGTCCACCACCGCCCCTACCCACATCGTCACTACCAACATCACTAAATCACTCCGCCGCAGCAATGGCAGCGGCAGTATCGGCCAACTCTTTAGCGGCGGCAAGTTTAGTGGCTTCATCCTTTAGTAGCTTGATGTCAACCGGATTAAATGTACGTAGCAAATCTCCTGCTGGTATCATCGAATGTGTAACGACCGGTGGAACTAGCGAAGTGGGTTCCGAAGATGACGACAATGACTCCCACAGCGCTTTAAATTTGAGCCGTGACAAAGATTCCGCCAAAGCTTTACGACAACCACGAATCGTTTCGGGTAGAAAACCGATAACACCAACCAAACGCCAATGGGGTTCCCCGGGCCTACCGCTAAATTTAGGTACGCAATTTATTAATCCCGCGACCGGGAAAAAACGAGTGCAATGTAACGTTTGCTTGAAAACTTTCTGCGATAAAGGAGCTTTAAAAATACACTTCTCCGCCGTACATTTGCGAGAAATGCACAAGTGCACAGTCGAAGGGTGCAACATGATGTTTAGCTCACGAAGATCTAGAAACCGCCACAGCGCCAATCCAAATCCCAAACTACACTCTCCCCATTTACGTAGAAAGATTTCACCCAACGATGGTAGAAGTGCTCAACCTCACCCGATGTTACTGCCGTCGGCACCAGGTTTACCTCTACCAGCAACCGCCCTAAACAGCTTAAACCCGTTCGGCTCATTTCCTATACTAACCCCGCCGCCCGACATTCGACACCATTCTGCCCTCAGCAACTTGGATTTCAAGCACAGTCTCGATCTTAGCATTCATAGAGCTGGAAGCGAAGAAAAAAGTGAAGATAGAAAGGCCGTATACGACAACAACATCTTAGCGCTCACTTCCACTAGCAGTAGTAATCATGAAGATGACGACGATTACGAAGACGACGGCATTGTAGTAGTTGGGGGCGACGAAGATGAAGACGGGGAGCGAATGGATTGCTCCAACGGCGTTTCTGACCTCCCGGAAGACTTCAGTATGTCATCCAAAAGATTCAAAATGTCCGTGTCCGATGTGGAAGAAGATATCGTAAGCAACGCCGACAGCAACGAAGATTCAGTCAGCATTATTGATACACACAGTCTTAAAGACGAACTAAATCTTTCCACAAATAAACGAAAACGCAAAAGTCAAAATCCAACCAAGTGTTCCGTGCCTGTAATAACAGACGATGGTGTTAGTGACGGTGAATCATCCAACGACGCGTACTCGGATCGGAATTTAGACAAGCAGGACTTACAAAAGGAAACACCAATACCTGCGGCCAAAGATTCTAAAGAGCATAAAGATGAAGAAGATATGCCGATAAATTTAGGCAAAAGTACGGCGGATGTCAACGCGAATGAGTCAGAAGCCGGAATTTACAACGAAATTAAAACTAGCTTGGCTCCATTGTTTTCGACGGATAAGTTGAAAAAAGAGAGGCCTTTTCACGAAACGGAAAACGTGGAGGACAACGACCGTCCGGCGAGTACCGTAGAAAGTAATCGAAGCGATGAATCGTTCGACTCGTCCAACGCCCTTCGCCACTTAGAAAGTTTATCTCATGGCAACTTTGGTGACCTAATGACGCAAGGTTTACACTTGGGTTTAGGCGTACCGAATCCGCATTTGGCCCCTTTGGGGTTTATGATGGGAGGCGGTCCTCCGAGTCCCGCAAGATCGCAAGCGTCATCAGGTGGCAGCTCCAACAGCCCAGATTCTCCCGATGAAAGTAGCCAGAATCAGTTGTTCGGCTTGTTCGATAACGGACAATTTATAAGTACAATGGATGTTCCTATTGATAAAGATAATCCCAGGCGCTGTGCTGCGTGTGGAAAAATCTTTCAAAACCATTTTGGCGTTAAAACCCATTACCAAAACGTACATTTAAAGTTGATGCACAAGTGCAACGTAGACGGATGTAACGCGGCATTTCCATCCAAACGAAGTAGAGACCGTCACAGTGCTAATTTAAATTTACACCGGAAGCTGTTATCCACAACGGATAAGGGATCGAGCATGTTAGAAAAGTCGCATTTTCCATCTCTGGCTAGCAGCCCCACGTTACAAGGAGATTTCTTTGCGCGGTTGTATGCAGAGGAAGCATTGAAAAATCATCATATTCCTACCTCGCCCGTTAATTTTAATCAACTGGTGTTAAATGGTGACCGAATCCCTCCGCCTCCTTTTCTTCTTCCTCCTCTTAGCGGTTTACCTTTCCCCTTGGGCAGCTTCAATCATTTCTCGCATATGAATGGCTCGGCTTTGACGCGAAGAGAACGATCGTCGGCGTCGAATTCTCCAACACCAGCGTCACCACCTCCAACCAGTTCCTCGCCCGATCCGTTACCTCTAATTCATTCCATTGACGAAGATATGCCCACGCCCGATAAAGATGGACATTTGCCATGTCGGTTTTGCAAAGCAACTTTTCGTAGTTCAGTGCAGTTAAAAGAACATTGTGAATCGAACCATTTGTTAGATATGTTCAAGTGTAAAGTTATTGGGTGTCCAAAGGTATTCATGTCGAGAACAAAAAGGAACTTACACTCGGAGAACTCTTCCTTGCATTTACATTTGGTAAATAAGAAAGAACCGAAAGGTAACGTGTCGTGACCATTTCAGAACGGTGGCATCTTTAAATCAATGCCATTTTGGTGGTAACTTTACTAATTAAGCGCTACTATGTGTGATTGTTAAATATTTGAATTTAATTAAAGCCAGTTTTTTTATTTATTGCGTTGTTTATAAGTATAAATGTTATTTTAGTTTTGTAAAAAGGTTTAAATGAATATATCCTGTAGATTTAAGAATGCCAGTCGTTGGAATACTCATTGATAGATAATTAAACGCGATCTCTAGAAAACTCTGAACAAAATCGATCATCCCGAATTTGTAGTATTAAAATTGCTCATTTGGAGACCTAGTACTTTTCAAAGTAGCGCGACGCGCGCAGTATTTATCTGTTAATCCTTTTATGTAGCGATTGCAAGTTGCGTGTCTGGATACTTTGCAAAGTATTTAGTGATGAACTGTAGACAAAAGTGTATATTTAAATGTGCAATAACTTTGTATATATTATGCTATGTCTGTATTTGTATAGATGTATATATTTACTATCACTGTTGGACGAATTGCAGAGGTATTCTTAAAAGGTTCTATTCTAGAATTGTCCTCAATGTATACGATTATACAGTTAGTGCTCTTGTATACTAAGCTTTTTAACAATATATTACTTGTAAGTTCTGTGTTCCTCTTTTAAGTCAGGTTTCTTAAAACGATGTAAATTTTCTTTTTAAAATTCTAGCTGTAATATTCATTATATTAATGTATAAATACAGCAAAACATAACATGTTACATTTGTCAAACTGTAAACAATACATTCTAAATGTTATTTATTAAATGATGTAAAATCATTGTGTACATTGACCAATATACCTCTGGGCTTAATTAAACTGTAGCTGTCACTGGATCTCTTTTTACTTCACCTACATGACGTTCGATTTCGATAGACTTTGAAGTAAGCAACCGGGTAGGTACAGGACGTTTAAAAAGTTCCCAAAGGCGCCAAAGTATGACTTGTCACTTATGAAAGAGAATGGCAGAAACGGGGAAAATATTTCCCAGAACAAAAATTTCTTAGGAGCTTAAGGAGGAACTGAGTTTCTAAGATTCCTGGAAAGTATACCTATAATTTTCCCAAAGGAAAAGTGCTTACACTTCGCGTCCAGTATATTGTTACATGCAGACAAAACGATATAAAGAATGAAATGGTTTCTAAAAACTGTAATACCCAGGAACAGATTCAGATTTGCGATTTCAAAAAGAGGAAGGCGCTACAAAAAATTGTAAGGTGCCAGTTTTTGATACAGCTGCCGCTATCTATCGGACGGTAGCTACAACAGCACCGTTAGAAACTTTGGTTTTATGGATTAATTGTTTGCCATAGAACATCGCGGCAGTTTTAAACACAGTGGCAGCGACAAAGATTTTTAAATGTGGACCCCAACTAAAATCTATCTATATCGTTGTGGTAACCATCATTAAAATTTAGTATGTAGGTAGGTATTACAGATTGAAAGATAGTAACAATACTATTCCTATTGTTAATGTCACTTTATTAATAAGTTAATTTATAGTTAAATTTATTAAAAGAATTATGCGCATAAGTTCATTCTATGGAAGGTAATTTTACAACAATCCTTTCTAATGCAACAAGGGGTGACATTCGCGCTCGGTTACATTGCATTACATGTTTCAATACAATTAAGTGATAAACAATAATGAAACGTTATAAATCACTCTATTGAAGGACGTTATAAGAACATTAACATTTAATTGTACACAAATAAATCACGCAATTAAATTTACATTACACTATTCGCCTCCAAGTGAGTCCATGAGTTGATTCTAAAATACTCTTCCTTAATGTGTTAGAACCACCCCTCGGTCATTTAAAAAAATCACAGTGTCGTTTATAGGCTCTATACTATACCTACTTCCAAAGAACTCTTTGAAAAAACAAGTGCTTAAACTGTTGCTTTCGGAGAGCATTCGCACTAAGACCCTCGCGTGGGAAAGTATAGAAAAATCTTAACGCCGCGGGGTGTTAATTTATTTTTTAAAGGTTCGCACGTCGACTCTCTTGGACAAGTAAAAAAAATTCGACAGTGCCGGTGATTTTTTTGGGCGACACTCGAATAGCGCGGAGTGTTATTTTGTTTTTCGAAAATTCGACGATTCGCGGAGTTAGGTACAGAACCCATAGAAATTAATAGTGCATGTGTTATTTTTTGTAACACTCTGATCGCTAATAGAGTTTTTCGGGAAACCAAATTTGTGACTAAAAACAGTAAGTCGAAGTCGTGGTGTTTTATGTCAAAATAACGATAAAGTAGGTTTGTGTTTGTGTTAATATTTTAGTAAATAATTCCATATTTTATAAATTTTCAAGATTTGACCACTATAATAACTTTTGATGTAGTCGTCGAATCTTGGAAAATTCTCGACGTTTTGGATTCTATACTTTTCAGAAAATGTTTTTTCTCGGTTGATTTTGAACTGGAAACAAAATGACCCTTGCTATTTCACTGAAAATCGACAAATGTTAAGTCTATTAGAAAACTACTTTATAGATTTTGACCTAAAGAATCCAAAACGACCAGAATTTTCATTATTGGATCACTGCATCGAAAGCTTTTTTCAGTCTTCTTTGCTCATCTGTTCTTTACACATAACTTTTCATGTAGTTGTCCGGTCTTGAAAATTCTGGATGTTTTGGAGCCTACAGGACAAAGTCTATAAAAGATTCATTTCGGACAAGCCACTGTTTCGACAGACAGGCTATTTCGCGAAAAATCGGCAAACTTTGAATCGACCGGAGAATCAGTTTTTCTTATAGAGGTAAATATATGTTTTTCTGAGTGCGTCATCCTCTTTATAAGGATTACGTAGGCATGTAGTCACGTAACACGCGACTGTTATTCTGTTTATCTATATCGCACTTACAATTTTATGTATTCGTAACGTAAATCATTTGCGAATGAATCGCCAATAGTGTCGGTTGTATGTGCTCCGCGCGTATGAAGTTTTATTTTTATATTCAACGTGGATGGCACATCGAGAAGTCCATTGCTTCTGATGGAATTTTTATGGATTCAGTTCTTCGATCACCAACGCGATGCTATTCGAGGTGTACTTCCCAGGAAAAGAGTGAGTTTTTACTTAATGATAATAATTAATGAAATGGCATAGATTAGGTGGTGCATCGAGGAGTTTTCACCCAAGTTTTTGCAAATACTCTCGTGTGCTTTTAACATTTTCATCTCTTACTAAAATATTTATCTGTGACGGAGTGATTGAGTCATTGTTTAGAGCTTAAATAAAAAAAGGCGACCAGTAGGTACCTTATTTAAAAAAAAATTAAATTAACTTTCTAGTGTGATCGAACCGTGCTCAATAAATTTAATCGGTAATTAGTAATTTACATATAAAATTGGTTTCAAATTTGTGCTTAGAGGTAAGATGATGGGGACCGTGTTATTGAGTCGTATTTTTTAAAGTTCAGTATGCATTGTAGGTTGTGGGTGGTCCACTCCTCAAAGTACTCTTTAAATGGTATTAAAAGGCGCTTCTTCTTTATTAACTTGTTTTTATAGCGTCCAATCAATACCTAAAAGTGCATTTGTGTGAGTCATTGTATGAAACCGTACCTAAAAGTTTAACATTTTAGCATGTCACTCGTTGGAGCCGCTACTAGAGCAGCCAGGTGAAGCCACGTTTCAACTACGCGCTCCATGCATTTTGCAGATGAAACTTTCCGGAAAAGATGGAGTTTGAGGTATTGGCCTGCAAGATCTTCGTCACTATTTCTTGTGAGTACCTTACAAATTACAAATAAAATGTAAATTATCAGGCACTAATGACTACAGTTTGAGAAACTCAGACTCTCATTCTTTATGCAGCTAAATGCATAAATAAAAGGTGAATACATTTTCCTACAACAAATTGTAGGAAATTTTATCCCCTTCAAGTCTTTGGACAACAACATATCAAAAAATCACATTTGCTTCATTTTTTCTGATATTGCATGTCTTGTTTGACTGACCTAGTAACCTATGAGAAAATTATTTTCATATTATTTTTGAATTTGCTCTTTCTAAATAAATATTTTGGTCATAGAGAGAAAATTTTAGTTTCTTTGACCAATTATGTTTAATTGATCTATATGCAACCCCGAAACTGCCCTCTAAAAATAAATTTAATTCTCGTTTTAAACTTAACGTAATTCTTAGTAAATCTGCACATACATGCATCGCAATCATTGATTAAGGGGGTTGTAACTTTTGAAGCGTACCGAAAATTTTTGTTTCTTTGATCGATTATATTTAAATGATCTATATGCAACCCCGAAACTGCCCTCTAAATGTAAATTTCATTCTCGTTCTGAACTTAACGTAATTTTTAGTAAATCTACACTTACATGCATTGCAATCGTTGATTAGGGGGGTTGTAACTCTTGCAGCGCACCGAAAATTTTATTTTCTTTGATCGATTATGTTTAAATGATATATATGTAACCCCGGAACAGCCCTCTAAAAATAAATTTCATTTTCGTTTTAAACTGAACGTAATTTTTTAGTAAATCTACACTTGCATGCATCGCAATCTTTGATTTGGGGGTTGTAACTTTTGCAGCGGACCGAAAATTTTAGTTTCTTTGATCGATTTTGTTTAAATGATCTATAAGCAACCTCGAAACTGCCCTCTAAAAATAAATTTCATTTTCGTTTTAAACTTAATGTAATTTTTAGTAAATCTACACTTACATGCATCGCAATCTTTGATTTGGGGGTTGTAACTTTTGCAGCGGACCGAAAATTTTAGTTTCTTTGATCGATTTTGTTTAAATGATCTATAAGCAACCTCGAAACTGCCCTCTAAAAATAAATTTCATTTTCGTTTTAAACTTAATGTAATTTTTAGTAAATCTACACTTACATGCATAGCACCGTTGACCAGGGGGGGTTGTAACTTTTGCAGCGAACAGAAAATTTTAGTTTCTTTGATCGATTATGTTTAAATGATATATATGTCTCTCGAAACTGCCCTCTAAAAATAAATTTCATTCTCGTTTTAAACTTAACGTAATTTTTAGTAAATCTACACTTACATGCACCGCAATCATTGATTTGGGGGTTGTAACTTTTGCAGCGGACAGAAAATTTTAGATTCTTTAATCGATTATGTTTAAATGATATATATTCAACCCCGAAACAGCCCTCTAAAACTAAATTTCATTTTCGTTTTAAACCTACTTACTCGTATAGATCGAAGGGGTTGTAACTTTTGCAGCGCATTATTTGTTTCTTTGATCGATTATGTTTAAATGATTATAAGCAACCCCGAAACTGCCCTCTAAAAATAAATTTCATTTTCGTTTAAACTAACGTAATTTTTAGTAAATCTACACTTACATGCATCGCAATCTTTGATTTGGGGGTTGTAACTTTTGCAGCGGACCGAAAATTTTAGTTTCTTTGATCGATTTTGTTTAAATGATCTATAAGCAACCTCGAAACTGCCCTCTAAAAATAAATTTCATTTTCGTTTTAAACTTAATGTAATTTTTAGTAAATCTACACTTACATGCATAGCACCGTTGACCAGGGGGGGTTGTAACTTTTGCAGCGAACAGAAAATTTTAGTTTCTTTGATCGATTATGTTTAAATGATATATATGTCTCTCGAAACTGCCCTCTAAAAATAAATTTCATTCTCGTTTTAAACTTAACGTAATTTTTAGTAAATCTACACTTACATGCACCGCAATCATTGATTTGGGGGTTGTAACTTTTGCAGCGGACAGAAAATTTTAGATTCTTTAATCGATTATGTTTAAATGATATATATTCAACCCCGAAACAGCCCTCTAAAACTAAATTTCATTTTCGTTTTAAACTTAACGTAATTTTTAGTAAATCTACACTTACATTCATCGCAATCATTGATTAGAGGGGTTGTAACTTTTGCAGCGCACCGAAAATTTTAGATTCTTTAATCGATTATGTTTAAATGATATATATGCAACCCCGAAACTGCCCTCTAAAAATAAATTTCATTCTCGTTTTAAACTTAACGTAATTTTTAGTAAATCTACACTTACATGCACCGCAATCTTTGATTTGGGGGTTGTAACTTTTGCAGCGGACAGAAAATTTTAGTTTCGCTGATCGATTATGTTTAAATGATCTATACGCAACCCCGAAACTGCCCTCTAAAAATAAATTTCATTCTCGTTTTAAGCTTAACGTAATTTTTAGTAAATCTACACCTACATGCATCGCAATCATTGATTAGAGGGGTTGTAACTTTTGCAGCGCACCGAAAATTTTAGTTTCTTTTATCGATTATGTTTAATTGATCTATATGCAACCCCGGAACAGCCCTCTAAAAATAAATTTCATTTTCGTTTTAAACTTAACGTAATTTTTTAGTAAATCTACACTTACATGCATCGCAATCTTTGATTTGGGGGTTGTAACTTTTGTAGCGGACCGAAAATTTTAGTTTCTTTTATCGATTATGTTTAAATGATATATATGCAACCTCGAAACTGCCCTCTAAAATTAACTTTTATTCTTTGTTAAACTTACGTAGTTTAATAGTAATTTCTCACTTCCAATCTACACTTACATGCATCGCAATCTTTGAATAGGGGGGTTGTAACTTTTGCAGCGAACCGAAAATTTTAGTTTCTTTGATCGATTATGTTTAAATGATCTATATGTAACCCCGAAACTGCCCTCTAAAAATAAATTTCATTCTCGTTTTAAACTTAATGTAATTTTTAGTAAATCTACACTTACATGCATTGCAATCGTTGATTAGGGGGGTTGTAACTCTTCCAGCGCTCCGAAAATTTTAGTTTCTTTGATCGATTATGTTTAATTGATCTATATGCAACCCCGAAACTGCCCTCTAAATGTAAATTTTATTCTCGTTCTAAACTTAACGTAATTTTTAGTAAATCTGCACTTGCATGCGTCGCAATCATTGATTAGAGGGGTTGTAACTTTTGCAGTGCACCGTTACAAAGTTTATAAAGTTTTCGTTCGAACCTGCACATTTTATTCGACAGTTCAAAATCTATAAAGAAAAGTTTTTTCCCGTTCGTATTCGGATCAGTAATTTTTCGATAGAAGAAAATAATCAAAATTGTCATGATTGGACCTCTAATTAAAAAGTTATTAGGTGGAAATCAGTTCTTTTGCCAATCACTTTTTCTGTAATCGTCCAATCTTGAAAATTCTTAACCTTTTGTATCCTATACGACAAAATTTGTTCGCACTGAAAGTCAACAAATTTTAGGTCTATCAGAAAATGACTTTTTCTTATAGATTCTGACCTGAACTACCTGAATGTTCAAGATTGGGTCCCTGCCTCAAACTATTTTTCCGCTTTCTTTGGGCATCGCTTTTGTTGCACATTTCTTTTCATGTATCTGGAAAATTCTGGTCTGTTTTGGAATCTACATGACAAAATCTATAAAAAAATTTATTTCAGAACAAGCCATTTCTTCGACAGCATTTATAGGCTAGGCTAGAGTATAATTTTGCTATTTCACCGAAAATCGGCAAATGTTGAATCGACCGGAAAAAGACTTTTTCGTATAGATTGTTGCCTGTAGAATCTCAGACCAGCATTTCCCTTATGGAACCGCTACATCAAAGGTGATAGCCTTTTAATTTTTTTAGAAATCGGTTTTTTGCCCATAAATTTTTATGCAGTAGGTATTTTTATTAAGCTGTTTCTGAAGAACTTTTATTTGATGTCTCCAAGGAGGAGATACATGATATACTAGGTATGTAAGATTCTAAACAGTAAGGATGTAGTAATGTGGTCTGGTGTGGTGAAGATAAAGTGTGTAGAGAAAAACAAAGGAAAATCACTGTACCTACATGAATTGTTTCGGGTGCGTCACCCTCAGGTTTTGTAAGCGTGTGGTCAAGTAACATGCACCGCGTTTCTGTTTATCTATATCGCAATTCGCAGTTACAAATTTATGTATTCCTTAACGTAAATCATTTGCGAATGAATCGCCAATAATATTTGTTGTATGTGCTCCGCGCGTATGACGTTTTATATTTAGGGTGGGTAAGGGAAGTTTTCACCTATTTTCTTCTTGCAGATAAAAAGATGAAAATATGCTCCGCTTTGTCCAACACCACTTTGGAACAGAATATCCGGGTGCGACAAATATTTCAACTTCCATTGCTCCTGATGGAATGTTTATGGATTTATTTCTTCGATTACCAACGCGATGCTGCCCGAGATGTCGATACTTCACGGGAAAAGAGTGAGTTTTGACTTTATGACAATAATTAATGCAATAGATTAGGTGGTGCATCGAGGAGTTTTCACCCAGGTTTACCTACTTTTTGCAAATACGTTCGGACACGGAAACCTTAGTTTTGGAGGAGGAAGTGTACTTTTAATATATTTATCTCCTGCTAAAACCTTTTTGACGGGGCGATTGAGTCATTGTTAAAAGCTTAAATAGAAAAAGAGGCCTACTATTTTTAAAAAAATTAAATTGACTTTCTATAGTGCGACCGGGTCGTGCTAAGTACCTAATAGTATAATTAAACAATAAAATGGTTTCAAATTGGTGCTTAGATGTAACATGATGGGGATCGTGTTATTGAGCCGTATTTTTTGACATTCAAATCAATGTAGATTGTGGGTGGTCCGTCGCTCAAGATGTCTTAAAAGACGCTTCTTTAATACCCCCAATCCTTAACTTCGTGTAGGCCATATCTAAAGGCACTTTCGTGTGAATCATACTTAAAAGAGTTTTTAGCATGTCACTAGAACAGCCAGATGAAGCACGTCCGCAACGATATTATCGGCTAAATAATAAACACCTGATTAATGAAAATATATCCTTCCTCAGTTCATGTTCTCCCCTGGTCGTCCGTCTTCCGATTTTTAGTTCTCTACAAAATGGCAAAAAACATGGCCGGTTTTTTAGTCATCGAGTATGACGAGTTGCCTATACACCAGGGGGCACGATCCTAAGGGGCCTAATAAAGCATTTTTATACATTTTTAAAGTATATATTAGAATTTTGAGGCCATTAACCCTACGTACGGAATTGAAATGATATAAATAAGTACTAGAGAGGTTTTATGAAAGGCAAATATGAAATTAATAGTCATTCTTTCCTAGCATAAACAAATCAGTTGTTACGAACGTAAAAACCATTGTAATCGAATAAACAATGACGAAATGTTAATACAGCAACCAATTATAAATGTTGAAGATTATGTATTTTGTAAATTTGTTATCTTGTACTGCCTAAATGTAATAACTAAGTAAAATTTAAAAAAATACATCGTCTCGACATCTGACGTTATTTCCTTGAACTGAATTGTAAAGGTTACAATTAAATGCAGGGAACTAAATTATTACCATCATAATGTGGCCTCGTATACGTGTAGATGTCGCTACTGTATGACAGAAAACTGCAGCTAACCTACCAGTAATAATATAATCGATTCAGCTAACTGACATTAGATGTCAGAAGGATATGTTCTTTTTAAATTTTAGGAACAACCATAAAAAAACAAAGGGAATGTAGATAATTACAAATGTACTAGTAACAAATTTACAAAACACATAAACTTCAGTTCACCATTAACTTTATTTATCTCCGACACTTGGTATGTGTTTACCTCTGGATGATGGACTTCATCATGATAGCCCCATAGGAATGATCCGTCGTTATGATCAATCTCCTAGGATATCGTGACAGTAGATTGCTCAAAACTTACCACTCTGACACAAAAGGATTGATCGTTACCATCTTTGAAACTGAACATTAACGTGCTCAAATAATTCTATACGTTAGACTGAGACCATTATCGAATCATTGATCGTAAAGAACCATCCACTGTTCTATTTGATTAAGTAAATCGTTAACCATCTTCACGTACACTATCGATTTGTTGTTTCAATTGGTCAGAAATAATGGCTTTGACAGATGTCATACCGTATAAGGGCCTCTTTATTCATCGTTTTCAGTGTAGCATTTCTTAACAAACTTGGTAACCATTTACTAAGAATTGAGGCCATTTTTAAAACTTTTGGAAATAGAACTCATTACAAACATTAATGACTTAATTACACACTGTTTATTTGCCAAATTCAAACCTTTTGGAACAATAACGGAATAAATACATCTCTAAAAAAGCATAAGCGAATTCATGCATGCGTAACTTATACTACGGATAAACAGACAGGAATCGTTTAACAAACTGATACTACAAAATCGACTGTTCGTTTGCTTCTTGTAATGAATGGGAAGTCCTTCTGCTCACTGAATATCTGTTATGGATTTGTAAGCAGTTTAACCAGTTTCGTGTCTCCCTTGGCAGAATGTGTCCGCTTTTCTAAAGCTACCCGAAAGAATCTTCCGTTAGTACTTGTCTCAAGTTTCTTGTGGAACTTCTGGTATTGGACTCAGTTTACCATTAATTGCATTTCGAAGGTTACCCTAATAAGTGTCAGTAAGTGCAAAAGAAATTATAATTTATATTTTAATTATGTACCAAAGCTTTCAATCTGGTAATGTAAAGTGAGTCTTAATTATGCTAACGTGTTATATGAGCACTGCATATCTCTTTCAACAGTAATGTCCAGACCTAGCTTTACATTTCAAACCCCCTTTTCTCCTTTGCATGCTTTCCCATCCATCAAGAACCACAGGGTCTCCGGATCGGCTGAACCAGAGCGATAAGTTCCATTTTACCCAAAAGCCAGACCGAACTTGCGACGATTCCATGAATGAAACTTTCAATTGAAATTCCATTTTCTTATTTTGAACTTGTAGAACAAGAAGAATTACAAAAAAACGTTCTTTTTTAAAATGAAAAAAGTAAATAACTATTTGAAGTTAATTTTACCACAAAATATAGGAAACGATATTATCGACATTTCTAATAACAAATGATTTTGCTAATTAATTTCTTCTTAAGTTCATGTTCTCCTGGTCGTCCGGCTTCAGATTTTATGTTCTGTATATACAAAATAGCAAAAAAAACATGGCGGGATTTCAATCATCGAGTATGACGAGTTGCCTATACACGAGGGGGCCCAATCCTAACGCTCCTAATAAAGCATTTTTATACATTTTTAAAGTATATATTAGAATTTTGAGACCATTACCCGTACGTACGGGATTGGAATGATGTAAATAAGTACTTTAGAGGTTTTATGAAAGGAAAATATGAAATTAACAGTCATTCTTTCCGCGCGTAAACAAATCAATTGTTGCGAACGTGGATCCATTGTAATCGAATAAACAATAACGAAATGTTAATACAGCAACCAATTATAATCAATGTTGAAGATTTTGTATTTTGTAAATTTGTTATCTTGTACTGCCTAAATGTAATAACTAAGTAAAATTTAAAAAAATACATTGTCTCGACATCTGACGTTATTTCCTTGAACTGAATTGTAAAGGTTACCATTAAATGCAGGGCACTAAATTATTACCATCATAATGTGGCCTCGTATTCGTGTAGATGTCGCTACTGTGTGACAGAAAAATGCAGCTAACCTACTAGTCAGAATGTAATCGATTCAGCAAACTAACATTAGATGTCAGAAGGATATGTTCTTTTAAATTTTAGGAACAACCATAAAAAAACAGAGGGAATGTAGATAATTACAGATGTAAAAGTAACAGATTTACAAAACACATAAACTTCAGTACATCATTAACTTTATTTATCTCCGACACTTGGTATGTGTTTACCTCTGGAGGATCAACTTCATCATGATAGGCCCCATAGGAATGATCCGTCGTTACGATCAATCTCTTAGGATATCGTGACAGTAGGTTGCTCAAAACTTACCACTCTGACACAAAAGGATCGATCGTTACCATCTTTGAAACTGAACATTAACGTGCTCAAATAATTCTATACGTTAGATTAAGACCATTATCGAATCATTGATCGTAAAGAGCCATCCACTGTCCCATTTGATTAAGTAAATCGTTAACGATCTTCACGTACACTATCGATTTGTTGTTTCAATTGGTCAGATATAATGGCTGACAGATCAGTCATACCGTATAAGGGCCTCTTTATGCATTGTTTTCAGTGTAGCATTTCTTAACAAACTTGGTAAACATTTACTAAGAATTGAGGCCATTTTTAAAACTATTTTGGAAATAGAACTCATTACAAACATTGATGACTTAATTACACAGACTGTTTATTTGCCAAATTCAAACCTTTTGGAACAATAACGAAATAAATACATCTCTAAAAAAGCATAAGCGAATTCATGCATGCGTAACTTATACTACGAATAAACAAACAGGAATCGTTTAACAAACTGATACTACAAAATCGACTAATGTTCGTTTGCTTCTTGTGATAAATGGGAAGTCCTCCTGTTCACTGAATATCTGTTACGGACTTGTAAGCCAGTTTAACCAGTTTCCTGTCTCCCTTGGCAGAATGTGTCTGCTTTTCTAAAGCTACCCGAAAGAATCTTCCGTTAGTACTTGTTTCAAGTTTCTTGTGGAACTTTTTGTAATGGATTCAGTTTACCATCAATTGCGCATTTGGAAAGTGATCCTAATAAGTGTCAGTAAGTGCAAAAGAAATTTAATTTATATTTTAATTAAGTACCAAGGCTTTCGATCTGGTAATGTAAAGCGAGTCTTAATTATGCTAATGTCTATATGAGCACTGCATATCTCTTTCAACAGCAATGTCCAGACCTAGCTATACATTTCAAACCCCATTTTCTTCTTTGCATGCTTTCCCATCCATAAAGAACCACAGGGTCTTCGGATCGGATGAACCAGAGCGATAAATTCCATTTTACCCAAAAGCCAGACCGAACTTGCGATGATTCCATGAATGAAACTTTCCATTTAAATTCCATTTTCTTATTTTGAACTTGTAAGAGCAAGAAGAATTACAAAAAAACGTTCATTTTAATAATTAAAAAGTAAATAACTATTTGAGGTTAATTTAACCACAAAATATAGAAAACGATATTATTGGCATTAAAATTAACCTTCTAATATTGAAAATTAATCCTTCTGAAGTTCATGTTCTCCTGGTCGTCCGGCTTCAGATTTTATGTTCTATATATACAAAATGGAAAAAAACATGGCCGGTTTTTCTGTCATCGAGTATGACTAGTTGCCTACACACCAGGGGGCATAATCTTAACGCTCCTAATATAGCATTTTTAAAGTATATATTGGAATTTTGAGACCATTAACCGGATGCACGAAATTGGAATGATGTAAATAAGTATTAGAGAGGTTTTATGAAAGGCAAACATGAAATTAATAGTCATTCTTTCCGCGCGTAAACAAATCAATTGTTGGGAACGTGAAACCATTGTAATTGAATAAAAAATGATGAAACTTTAATGCACCAACCAATTATAAATGCTGACGTTTATGTGTTTTGTAAATTTTTGATCTTGTACTGTCTAAACGCAGTAACAAAAAGCAAAATTTCAACAAATATTTCTTTCGACATCTAACGTAATTTCCTTGAACTGAATTGTACTTGTTACCATTGAATGCAGGGCACTGAATTATTGCCATCATAATGTTACATCGTATTCGCATAGCTGTCGTTACAGTATGACAGGAAACTGCAGCTAACCTACTAATCAAAATATAATCGATTCAGCAAACTAACATTAGATGGCAAAAGGATATGTTCTTTTAAACCTTAGGAACTACAATTAAAAAACAGAGGGATTGTAGATAATTTTGTTACTTTTCGGCAGTATGTACAAGTAACAAATTTACAAAACACATAAACTTCAGCATTTATAATTGGTTGCTGTGTACACCATTAACTTTTATGTCTCCGACACTCTGGATGATCCACTTCATCATGATAGGCCCCATAGGAATGATCCGTCCGTTACGATCAATCTGAAAGGGTATCGTGACTGTAGATTGCTCAAAATTTACCATTCTCACACGAAAGGATCGATCATTACCATGGTTGAAACTCAACGTTAACGTGCTAAAATTATTCAATACGTCAGATCGAGACTGTCATCGAATCGTTGATCGTAAAGAGCCATCCACTGTCCTATTTGATTAAGTAAATCGTTAACGATCTTCACATACATTATCGATTTGTTGTTTCAATTGGTCAGAAATAATGGCTTTGACTAATCAGCTATACCAAATAAGGGCCTCTTTATGCATTGTTTTCAGTGTAGCATTTCTTAACAAACTTGGTAACCATTTACTAAGAATTGAGGCCATTTTTAAAACTTTTTTGGAAATAGAACTCATTACAAACAATGATGACTTAATTACACAGACTGTTTATTTGCCAAATTCGAACCTTTTGGAATAATAACGAAATAAATACATCTCTAAAAAAGCATAAGCGAATTCATGCATGAGTGACTTATACTACAGATAAACAAACAGGAATCGTTTAACAAACTGGTACTACAAAATCGACTAATGTTCGTTTGCTTGTTGTGATGAATGGGAAGTCCTTCTGCTCACTGAATATCTGTTACGGACAGTTTAACCAGTTTCTTATCTCCCTTGGCAGAATGTGTCCGCTTTTCCAAAACTACCCAAAAGAATCTTCCGTTAGTACTTGTCTCAAGTTTCTTGTGGAACTTCTGATATTGGATTCAGTTTACCATTAATTGCATTTCGAAAGTTACCCTAATAAGTGTCAGTAAGTGCAAAAGAAATTATAATTTATATTTTAATTACGTACCAAAGCTTTCGATCTGGTAATGTAGTCTTAATTATGCTACCGTCTATATGAGTACTGCGTAACCCTTTCAACAGCAGTGTCCAGACCTAGCTTTACATTTCAAACCCCCATTTCTCCTTTGCATGCTTTCCCATCCATAAAGAACCACAGGGTCTTCGGATCGGATGAACCAGAGCGATAAATTCCATTTTACCCAAAAGCCAGACCGAACTTGCGACGATTCCATTAATAAAACTTTCAATTGAAATTCCATTTTCTTATTTTGAACTTGTAAGAGCAAGAAGAATTACAAAAAGTTCATTTTAATAATTAAAAAGTAAAGAACTATTTGAGGTTAATTTTACCACAAAATATAGGAAACGATATTATCGGCATTATAATGGAAAACATCCTAATAATAAAAATTAATCCTTCCACAGTTCATGTTCTCCTGGTCGTCCGTCTTCAAATTTTATGTTCTGTATGTACAAAATAGTAAAAAAAACATGGCCGGTTTTCTGTCATCAAGTATGACGAGTTGCCTATACACTAGGGGGCATAATCCTAACGCTCCTAATATAGCATTTTTATACATTTTTTAAGTATATATTGGAATTTTGAGACCATTAACCGTACGTACGGGATTGGAATGATGTAAATAAGTACTAGAGAAGTTTTATGAAAGGCAAACATGAAATTAATAGTCATTCTTTCCGCGCGTAAACAAATCAATTGTTGGGAACGTGAAACCATTGTAATCGAATAAAAAATGATGAAACTTTAATGCACCAACCAATTATAAATGCTGACGTTTATGTGTTTTGTAAATTCTTGATCTTGTACTGTCTAAATGCAGTAATAAAAAGCAAAATTTCAACAAATATTTCTTTCGACATCTAACGTAATTTCCTTGAACTGAATTGTACTTGTTACCATTGAATGCAGGGCACTGAATTATTGCCATCATAATGTTACATCGTATTCGCATAGATGTCGCTACTGTATGTCAGAAAACTGCAGCTAACCTACTAGTCAGAATATAATCGATTCAGCAAACTAACATTAGATGTCAGAAGGATATTTTCTTTTACACTTTAGGAACTACAATTAAAAAACTAAATTAGATAATTTTGATACTAATCGGCAGTATGTACAAGTAACAAATTTACAAAACACATAAACTTCAGCGTTTATAATTGGTTGCTGTGTACTTCATTAACTTTTATGTTCCTAACACTTGGAATGGGTTTTCGACCAGATAATCGACTTCATGATAGGCCCCATAGGAATGATCCGTCGTTACGATCAATCTGAAAGGATATCGTGACAGTAGATTGCTCAAAACTTACCACTCCATTAACTTGCTTAAATAATTCAATACGTTAGACTGAGACCATCAACGAATCATTGATTGTAAAGAGCCATCCACTATCCTATTTGATTAAGTAAATCGTTAACGATCTTCACGTACACTATCGATTTGTTGTTTCAATTGGTCAGAAATAATGGCTTTGACAGATCAGTCATACCGTATTTCTTAACAAACTTGGTAACCTTTACTAAGAATTGAGGCCATTTTTAAAACTTTTTTGGAAATAGAACTCATTACAAACATTACACAGACTGTTTATTTGCCAAATTCGAACCTCTTGGAATAATATGAAATTTACATCTAAGGAATATACATCTCTAAAAAAGCATAAGCGAATTTGTGCATGCATAACCTTATACTACGGATAAACAAAATTGATACTACAACATCGAATAATATTCGTTTGCTTCTTGTGATGAATGGAATGTCCTGATCACTGAATATCTGCTACGCATTTGTAAGCAACTTTAACGTTTCTTGTCCCCCTTGGCAGAATGTGTCCGCTTTTGTAAATCTACCTACAAGGATCTTCCGTTAGTACTTATCTCAAGTTTCTTATGGAACTTTTTGTATTGGATTCAGTTTACCATCAATTGCACTTCGAAAGTAACCCTAATAAGTGTCAGTAAGTGCAAAAGAAATTATAATTTATATTTTAATTACGTACCAAGACTTTTGATCTGGTAATGTAAAGTGAGTCTTAATTATGCTAACTGCTATATGAGCACTGCATATCTCTTTCAACAGTAATGTCCAGACCTAGCTTTACATTTCAAACTCCCTTTTCTCCTTCTTCCTTCTTCGGATCGGCTGAACCAGAGCGATAAGTTCCATTTTACCCTCGATTTTACCCAAAAGCCAGACCGAACTTGCGACGATTCCATGAATGAAGCTTTCAATTGAAATTCCATTTTCTTATTTTGAACTTGTAAGAGCAAGAAGAATTACAAAAAAATGTTCATTTTAATAATGAAAAAAGTAAATAACTATTTGAGGTTAATTTTACCACAAAATATAGGAAACGATATTATCGAAATTTAAATTAACATGTAAACTTGTAAAAAATTTCCTTTTTCAGTTCATGTTCTCCTGGTCGTCCGGCTTCAGATTTTTTGTTCTATATATATACAAAATGGCAAAAAACATGGCCGGTTTTTCTGTCATCGAGTATGACGAGTTGCCTATACACCAGGGGGCTCAATCCTAACGCTCCTAATAAAGCATTTTTATACATTTTTAAAGTATATATTAGAATTTTGAGACCATTAACCGTACGTACGGGATTGGAATGATGTAAATAAGTACTTTAGAGGTTTTATGAGAGGCAAATATGAAATTAATAGTCATTCTTTCCGAGCGTAAACAAATCAATTGTTACGAACGTAAAAACCATTGTAATTGAATAATGACGAAATGTTAATACAGCAACCAATTATAAATGCTGAAGATTATGTATTTTGTAAATTTGTTATCTTGTACTGCCTAAATGTAATAACGAGTAAAATTTAAAAAAATACATTGTCTCGACATCTGACGTTATTTCCTTGAACTGAATTGTAAAGGTTACCATTAAATGCAGGGAACTAAATTATTACCATCATAATGTGGCCTCGTATTCGTGTAGATGTCGCTACTGTATGACAGAAAACTACAGCTAACCTACCAGTAATAATATAATCGATGCAGCAAACTAACATTAGATGTCAGAACCATATTATCTTTTTAATTTTAGGAACAACCATAAAAAAACAGAGGGAATGTAGATAATTAATTACAGATGTACTACTGTGTGATCATTGAATTATTCAATGGTGTGATCAAAAATGAGTTGCTGTCAAGTCACCTTTGGAACTTTTGTTTACATGGTAAATCGTATTTAACTTGAACTTCCAAAGGCGACTCGACAGCAACTCATTTTTGATCACCTGTTAATAACAAATTTACAAAACACATAAACTTCAGTACACCATTAACTTTATTTATCTCCAACACTTGGTATGTGTTTACCTCTGGATGATCAACTTCATCATGATAGGCCCCATAGGAATGATCCGTCGTTACGATCAATCTCTTAGGATATCGTGACAGTAGGTTGCTCCAAACTTACCACTCTGACACAAAAGGATCGATCGTTACCATGTTTGAAACTGAACATTAACGTGCTCAAATAATTGTATACGTTAGACTGAGACCATCAACGAATCATTGATCGTAAAGAGCCATCCACTGTTCTATTTGATTAAGTAAATCGTTAATCATCTTCACATACACTATCGATTTGTTGTTGCAATTGGTCAAAAGTAATGGCTTTGACAGATATCATACCGTATAAGGGCCTCTTTATGCATTGTTTTCAGTGTAGCATTTCTTTACAAACTTGGTAACCATTTACTAAGAATTGAGGCCATTTTTAAACCTTTTTTGAAAATAGAACTCATTACGAACATTGAATATTTAATTATCTGTTTATTTGCCAAATTCGAACCTCTTGGAAACCAGAAATTTATATCTAAGAACATAAATACATCACAAAGCATAAGCAAATTCGTGCATGCATAACTTATACTGCAGATAAACAAACACAAATAGTTTAACAAATTGATACTACAAAATCTACTAATGTGCATTTGCTTCTTGTGATAAATAGGATGTCCTTCTAATTACTGAATATCCGCCACGGATTTGTAAGGAAGTTTAACCCTTGTCTCTCTTGGCAGAATGGGTCTGCTTTTCTAAAACAACCCAAAAGATATTTCTGTTGGTATTTGTCTCAAGTTTTTTGTGGAACTTCTCATCTTGGAATCACTTTATCTTCAATTGCAATACGAAAAGTGACCCTAAAAAGTGTCAGTAAGCGGGAAAGAAATTATAATTTGTAGTTTAATTACCTACCGAGGCTTTCGATCTGGTTATGTACTTTGAAAGTGGCCATTGGTCTTAATTACGCTAACGTCTATATGAGTACTGTGTAACTGTTTCAACAGCAAGCCCAAGACCAAGTTTTCCATCCCAAACCCCCCTGCATTGGGATCAGCTAAGCCAGAGCAATAAGTTCCATTTCACCCAATAGCCAGACCGAACATGAGAGTCGATTCCATGAACGAAACTTTCAATTGAAGTTCCATTTTCATATTTTGAAATAGTAGGAGCAGGAAGAATTACAAAAAAAAAACGTTCACTTTAATGATGAAAAAGTAAACAACGGTTTCAGCCTTTGAGTTTAATTTTCTACTCAGTCAATATAGGAAACGACATTATCGGCATTTTCATTTCAAACAGCAATAATGTACAAAAATCTTTCTTGGTTTATGTTCTCCTGGTCCTTCGCCTTTAGATTTCGTGTTCTATACATACAAAATGGCAAAAAACATGGCCGCTTTTCAAGTCATGGGGTTAGACGAGTTGCCTACACACCAGGGTGTACTTTCCTAACGAGTCTATTAAAGCCTTACGAACGGCATTTCATTAAATTTAAAATGGTGTAAATAAGTACTCGAAGTGGTTTTATGAAACAAAAATATGAATTTAGTATTCATTCTTTCCGCGCGTAAACTAATCGTTTGTTGTTATTAAACAATGATGAAAAGTAATGCAGCAATCATTTATAAACGCTGAAGTTTTAGTGTTTTGTAAATTTGTTACTTGTATATACCTTAGAGTAAGAAATAAAGTACATACTGTCTAAATGTATCAAATCAAAATTACATGTTGGTTTTTTTAAATTTAAAATATACATCGTTCTGACATCTGACGTTAGTTTGCTGAATCGATCATATTATTACTAGTAGGTTAGTTGCAGGTTTCTGTCTTACGGTAGCGACATCTATGCGAATAGAATGTCACATTATGATGGTAATAAGTTAGTGCCCTGCATTTATTGGTAACATTTACAATTCAGTTCAGAGAAATAACGTTAGATGTCGAAACGATATAATTTTGAAATTTTGCTTTGTGTTGCAACATTTAGGCAGTACAAGATCAAAGATTTACAAAACACATAAACTTCAGCATTTATAATTGGTTGCTGCATTATCGTTTCGTCATTATTTATTGAATTACAATGGCTTCATGTTCCCAACAATTGATTTGTTAACGCGCGGAAAGAATGAATACTAATTTCATATTTTCGTATCATAAAAACTCTAGTACTTATTTACATTTATTGAAATGCCATACGTATGGGTAATGGCCTCAAAATTTCAATATGAACAATATCTCAGCTCTTTTGGGTTATATATACTTACCCATCACAAGATATTTTTTAATCAGACTTCACTTTTTAGCCGGTCTCAAGCAGTACCTACCTCCATCGCTAGCTATCTAAAACGACGACGCTTTTCCGATACGAAGACCGAAGGAACTAGTCAACTCTGCAATCGTCAACAAAATTTAGGTAGGACAATGAAATCCTGTTTACACGTTTACTGGATAATATTATTGTTGTAGGGGTGAGTGATTCGGCGCCATCATCATCATCATTCCGGTCCATCCGTCATCGAGGATTTACTTTAGGTAGCTACTAGTAAACTAATAGTCAATCAATGTGACTATGGTGTTTCACTACTAGTAGCTTTAAATGAGAACAAAATATACGTATCAAGTTATTTATTTTTTAAGATATCACTGTTACAAGAAGATTTTTGTACTACAAAAAAAGATCTCTAGAATAATATTGTACAAACGAAATTTTTTTAATTAAAAAGAGAATATTAATATGTATTATATATGTAACTATTGAAAAATACAATAAAAAAAGTTAAAAATCTTTTTTGTTTTTTTTGAAACATTCCTTTTTGAATTCAAACAACTTTCTTGAATCACCTTTTTGAATTCGAAAAACTTTTTTGAATCACTTTTTTGAATCACTCCTAACTTTTTTGAATCACTTTTTTTAATCACTCCTAACTTTTTTGAATCACTCCTAACTCTCTTAAAATCTCTTATAAGCTTGATACTTGATACTTGATGCTTGGTGCATTGGTACTCGGTGCTCGGTGCATTTGACCTCGGTGCTCGGTACATTTGCACTCGGTGTAATTGCACTGGGAGCTCGGTGCATTGGCACTCGGTGCTCGGTGCATTGGCAATCGGTGCATTTGTACTCGGTGCTCGGTGCATTTGCACTCGGTGCTCGGTGCATTTGCACTCGGTCCTCGGTGCATTTGCACTCAGTGCTCGGTGCATTTGCACTCGGCGCTCGGTGCATTTGCACTCGGTCCTCGGTGCTCGGTGCATTTGCACTCGGTCCTCGGTGCTCGGTGCATTTGCACTCGGTCCTCGGTGCTCGGTGCATTTGCACTCGGTCCTCGGTGCATTTGCACTCGGTCCTCGGTGCATTTGCACTCGGTGCTCGGTGCATTTGCACTCGGTGCTCGGTGCATTTGCACTCGGT